GAACACTGAGCTGCTAGTGGCAATTCTGCCTGGGTTTGAGAGTGTGCAGGCAGCTGGGAGACATCCCACACTGGTTACTATCACAATTTCTCTACTGTTCTATGCCATCTTTATGCAGATAAATCTTAAGGCTGATATTCCTTACTTCCCCTCAGAAAGGTCACTTTAAGGGAGTTATATTACTTATTTCATTGCATGATTCTTTAATCATAAGCACTATTCCACACACACCCCCCCCATCCCTTCTTGATTGCCTTCACTTGCTTAATTCACAGCACTGAAACATTTGTTAAGTTAATCTGAGGAATTCCAGCTTCTCATTTCAGTTTTCTCATACTTTGCTGTTTTGAATAGCCTCTCTCATCTCTCTTGTAAAATGAAAACATGCAATCAAATCCTCAAGAAATATAATCAAATTCGTATGCTTTTTAAAGACAAGATGGCATAAAACTGCTAACACTCTCTCCTTTAAACATGGCAAAGTATTTAAAGGTATTTGGGCAGCATCTCCTCCATAGATGTTCTCACTTTAAGTGGAAAGCAGGTCTCTGAATGGCCAAGTTTGTCCTTTCTGTGCCAGGTTTAAGAAACGCCGCAGTGACCGCAGCTGTGCTGGAGCCGGTGGGAACCAGGAACAGCTCACATCCCACGGCGAGCGCCGTGGAGGGGTACCTGAGCCGGCCCCCGCAGCGCCTGGCAGCCAGCTGCGTTGACACAGCTCCACGGAGGAGCGCGGTCAGACGCTTGCTCACGCAGGGGCCGTGCGGTGCCTCCCCACGGCACACGGCAGCAGGACACGGGCACACGCAGCGGTGACGGTGCCCAGCACGGCAGGGACCTGCCACGGGCACCGCCATCCCGGCCCGCGTGTTCCGTGGCCCCTTCTTCCCCATGTCCAAGAACTCAGTTCCAGCCCCTGAGCAACAGTGCCCTGCATCAGCACCACCGCCAGCCGCTGCGGCTGCAGCCCGCTCACAGGCTTGTCCCCGAGACACACGTTGTACCAGAGGACACGCTGTGAGCTGTGAGCAGTGTGTGATGGGGTGAGGGGGGCTCTGCAGGGTTTCTGTCTCTGGAGCAATTCATCAGATACTCCAGGGGCAGCTTTTCAGCGAGAACACAGCTAAATCACACTGACCGAGACCTCTGTGCGCGGCACTGCCCTGAGCGGCTGCTGTACAGCACTTGCTTCCTCAGAAGGCTCATCAGTATTTTCGTAAAGGTTTTTTATTACCTCGTTGTGTCTAAACCATTAGTTTCCTGCAAACAAAATTTAATAGGGAACCACTGAAAGCAATTACCTCACAGAGCTACTTTGTCAAGTGTGAGGCTTTTTCCAAGCAGTGAGAGGATAAAAGGATAAAAAAATTCCCAAGCAAATATCCCATGTTCATATTGTTAAGGTTAATATGGGGAGTGAGGTCAAATGAGCTGACAGCCAAAAAGCACAATGCACAGCACACAGCATCCTGACTTCCCTTCTCACTTCCTAAACACTGCACTAGCAAAGATTTACTAGACATGAAAAGTAAGTGATGTATTTACTTTTGAAGTGTAGCTTCAAAATTAATCAAAGACATTTTTCTTACACTTGCAATGCATGCATTAAAAACAAAAATGTGAGGTGTCCCTGCCCATAGCAGGGGGGTTGGAACTGGATGATCTTAAGGTCCTTTCCAACCCTAACTATTCTATGATTCTATGAAAAATCCTCTACCTGCTAAGGGGCACAGGAAAACCCGGAGCGTTTCTTCTCGTAAGAGTCAGCAGTAACTGTGTCCTCCCCAGCCTGAGCTCTGCTGAGGGCTATTTCACCAAACTCTGCTCGGCTACAAGAAACACTGATGAAGGCAAATACACAGAGCAGATTTCTCCGTGCACGTGTGAGAATGCATGCATATGGCAAGGTGAGCTCTGCATTGAGAGAGAATTCTGACCTTGTAACTGCTGCTTTTTGGGACAAAGCTCAGAGATGTTTGCAGAGGCAGGATCATTCTGAAAGCACACTAAAAAGCCCCACTATATATATATATATATATATATATATATGTAAATATACATTTATTTTTTGGAAGGGGGGTGGAATTTAAAGATACTAAATTAAAAATGCAGCGTAAGAGTCATTGTTACTGTAGTTTCAGGTGTCTGTAACTTAAAGGCCATCAACACAGCAGGCCGGGCTGCAGGCAGGCTTAAATTCAAGTCAGTTTCGATGGCTTGAAGGACTTAGTTATTCCATACACAAGGAACATGCTCCCCGGCATGCTCACCTTTGCACATCTACCTTTAATGGAAACAAAGGAACTTGGTTCTTCTGGAACTGCTGAGCAGAACAGCAAAGCAAGTGTCCCTCCCTTACGGACAGTTAAAGAGGACAACACTAAATACCTGTTAATCACAACAGACCCATTCTGAAAGAGGTATTGCAATTCCTGGAGGTTCAAACTGCTGGAGAATGGGATAAAGGGCACACTATCCTGTCTCTGTCCTGCAGGAATGCTGCTGCTTGAGTAAGGTTCAACCCAGATGCTGCCTGACACAGAAATCTTGCCAGGAAAACACCCAGCTCCATACAGTGACTGCTATTTACCTGGGTATAGTTATATTTATATATAATTATATAAATATATAAATAATAATAAATATAATACATATATTTATATATAAATATATATTTACAGGGAATAAATACATTTAGCCCAGCGTGGTCTGCACTGTCAGCACTGCCCAAAGCCCAAGCAAGCATGCTACAAAAATTAAGCTTGTTTTACTTTAGGATAGGAAGGCTTTTAAATCAAACCCAGTCTGCTGTCGATACCTTGCTGGCAATCCAGCAAGGAGGGAAAACAAAGAGCGGATAAAAAGATCAGAAGTGAAAAGCACAGTGTTATACTGACAGTGATCCTCCAGGGAAGGAAGAACGCGCTTAGAAAAGAGTTACTGATGCTTACTCTGAATAAGGGCTTGGAAAAATAAGACTCACTGGATTAGAACTGGTTTTGGAAAGGCAGTCTCCTGCTACAGGAGCCACAGTAACCCCCGATTTCTTGTTGAGCGAGTGATGGGGAGATCATGTGGCTCCAGACAGTAAGAAAGTATTGAAGTTTCCTATTAGCTGCATTTATAACTATGCCAAGAATTTGGTGTTGCGTTTAAAAGCATTCTGTTCAAAGCAGGTTTTGAGTAGAACACCTGGAGAAAAGCTTATTTTGAGGTGACAGTGCAAATTCACCGTAGAACAGCAGTAACTATTTCACATGACTTGGATTGTTTCCCCACGGTTTTCCCCGGCACCGCGAGCATCACTGAATAAACACAAACGCGTCCTCTCACCACATCGTCCTTCGCGCACGTCTCGTGTGTCACCAGCAGCCACGCGCAGTTTGTCTTCTGGATCCCGCAGCTCTGCGCGTCCTGGGGACGGAGAGAAGCGACTGAGCTGGCCCGCGGGGAGCTGCGCCCGGCTCCTGTGCAGCGCAGCCCGGCCCCTTCAGAGCAACACCACCGGCGCCACACGTCCGGCTGTCAGCGTGCCCGGGGCTGCAGACCGGCCCGGGTGGGCGCCCCTCCGCGGGACCCCCGGGCTCACCGCGGCGCCGCCCTGCGCCAGGACCAGGCGGCCCGAGCAGGAGCTGGTGGTGCAGAACCGCGACCGCCCGTTGAGCAGCTGCACCACGGCGGCGGCGCGCTCGTCCAGGCCGCCCTTCCGGCTGGCGTCCGCCCGCGCCAGGCGCTGCGCCTTCCGCTGCACGAACGTCGCCATCGGCAGGGACGGGACCGGGACCGGGACCGGGATCGGAATCGGGACCGGGATCGGGATCGGGACCGGGATCGGGACCGGGATCGGGATCGGGACCGAGACCGGGACCGGGACCGAAGACCCGAACAGCCCCGCCCCGCCCCGCGAGGCCGACGGCAGCCTGCGGGGTCCAACCCGCAGCACGCGGCGGGGAGGGCGGGCGCGGCCTGCAGCTGATTGGGAGGGTTAGGGGGCGGGGTCTGGCGGCGGCGGGGCGAGGCCTTGATACGCTGGCGTATCAGAAGCGTGTCCTGGTGATGACGAAGTACCCGGGGCGGGGCTCGGCGGCGGCGGCGGGAGGCAGATCCCGCGCTGACTCCGCTCCGTGCCGGTGAGCTCCGGGAGCCGGGTGGGGCCTCTCGTACCCGGTGCTTCCCGGCTTGAGGAGAACCAGGTTCCGCTTCCGGGCCGCGCCGGGCCAGGGCTGCCGGCGGTTGCTCGGAGGCGGGGAGGCCCCGGGCAGCTCCGGGCCGCCGCGGCCGCGCTCTCTTGTGCCGCCCCTGCTGCCGGGCTCTCGCAGGCGCCCGTCTCTGTTCGCTGCGCTTCAGCCCAGGTGCCCGCGGCCCTCCCTGTCCTGGGGGCGCCTCCCGCCCCCTCGCTGCCCGCCCGGTTCCTGCCGGGGGCCCGCCTGGTGCTGCGCGTCCCGGGGAGAGGCGGCTGCGGCTCTCGAGAAGCTCCAGCGCCGCTCAGCCCCGGCCCCTGGCCCTGCTGCTCGCCCGCTCCTTCCTGCCGGGCTCTGCCGGTCGCGGCAGCCGGGGCCGCTGCAGCCTTCGCCCCGCTCCCGCCCTTCCCAGCTCCGGGGTGGGAGGGCTCCTCTCCTCTCCTCCCGGTCCTGGATCGCCCGTGCCGGGATGTGCCGCCGAGGCACTCGGGAGCCTCCGGGACGCTTGTGCTGCCGCTGCGCCTCCGACAGGCGCTGGCTTGCTCCCGGGGCTGTGGCCTTACTCATCAGTCATCGTGCAGGGTCACTTAGCAAGGCCTACAGGTCCAGTTGTTGGCCCAGCAGAACGGGAGCCTTTTCCTTTGGTTTGTTGCTACGTGCAGAAGTGACCTAAGCTTCAGGAGGTACCTCACGGTGCAGGTTCTTGTCATGTCCCCAGGGCAGTGTTAGTGTATATCCTTGTGACAGATACCCTCCCTAGCTTGAACGGGTAACCACAAATTGGAAGCCTCGCAGAAGACTCTAACAGTCAGGAGAAAGCCAACAGTGATTAAGTCAGGTGCTTTTGAAAGCTGTAATCATCGCTGGGGTAAAGCCTCCCTCTGGCTACAGACAGGAGTTCTCTAGCTGGAGTTGGCCAAAAGTGATCTCTTGGTGTCTTTGAGGTTCCTGTGTGCCTTGTGATCCTCTGCTGTGTAGCCTGTAGGATTGGATCCCTGGAGAAATTGTGTGTAACTTCTCCTGTAGCAGGAGTAACCTAATCGTGGTGTTTTGTGAGAATACTTCATGTTTGCAATTGGATAACACAGCTTCACGTGTTGGTACATGGCATCGCTGCACTGGGGCAGGCGAGGCTGTGAGCTGCACTGTGGCAAAATCCAGCTGGAGTTAAGGACTGCGATCTCAGCTATCTGCTTTTTGTTTTAATCGCCTGTGGTACCTTCTGTTTCTGACAGCTGATGAGGCGTGCTTTGTGTTGCCCTTTCATCACATGTCAGTTTAATAGGAAGCAGGAACAGTGACTGGCACATCCCTGAGCTGCTGACCCTGTCATCCAGTGTGCCAGCATGGAACAGTAAAGTGTCACAGTTTTTCCCCCAAAGCACTGTGCATCTCTGCCCATGTAATAGCAGTGCAGTGGTCACTCACAGGAGCTGCTGTAGAAAGCCTTCTGTGGATAAATTATTTGCATGTGATTTTCTTCACATCCACAAAATCCTGCAAATGGTAGAGGTCGCTTTCTGCCTTTTGCAACTTTTGAGGGAAAAAAGCCAACCAAGCAAACACTACCCTACCTACCCCCATTGAGATCAGCAGTGAGGGTTTGTTTGGCCAGGTGCTTAGCAGGTGGGGGTTGGATTTCTTTGTTTTGAAGATGCAGAATGAATTATGAAAGCAATACAATATTACTGTGTCTTTTGTTTTTTTTTCCCCAGGTACTCGGATCAGTATGGCAGCCACAAGAAATGTGATGAGAGCTGTCAGAGTTCTTGAGTTTGGTGGCCCTGAGGTGCTTAAGCTCCAGTCAGATGTTCTAATTCCTGATCCAAAAGAAAATCAGGTAATAAGAGTTCTGTGAAGTGAAGCAGTGATACAAGATGATAATGGGTACACTAAGAAGTGAATGAACTGCACACAACTTTTCATCTTGAATATGTATGGTTTGATCAGTGTATTTGTACTACCTGAGACATCACGTTTAACAAATGTGGGGGGTTGCTGCTATAGGGGCTATGTATTCCACTTAAAGGACTTCCTGAAAATAGCTTCAGTTCAGCACTGGATTTTTGCTGACTTTGTTCAAGAATTCAATTAAAATGCCATGATACTGTGCTGTGAATTGACATCCTGAATCCTTTCAATGATTGCTCAAGAAGCACCTTTTCTTTCAGGTGTTAATTAAAGTCCATGCCTGTGGGGTAAATCCTGTTGAGACTTATATTCGTTCTGGAAATTATGCCAGAAAGCCAGCTCTGCCCTACACTCCTGGCTCAGATGTGGCTGGGGTGGTGGAAGGTGTTGGGGAGCATGTGACTGCGTTCAAGGTATTTACCCATCGAGGTCTAACTCCCTGTTGCTTCGTGTATCTTCTTAGTGTGCTTGCTCCAGTTTTATTGTGTATGATCATGCAATCTGCTGAAGGGGAAAATCACCTTCATGGGCTGGTAAAAGCAAGCAGCGAGATCACGCTGGCAGCCCAGCCTGCAGGGGGAACCGGAGGGAAGTCTTCAATGCTGTAACCTCCCAGAGTTGAAAGGCCTCAGAAGAGCCTTTGCTCTGCAGTTTGTCTGCTGGCAGCAGTAATGTCAGGTGCACAAAAGTTGTGGTTCAGAACTGTTCTGTGGCATTGCAGAAGTTCACATTTTCATTGCTCTGTAAAATGGAGACCAGTGAGTGGGAAATGGTTAAAACACTTTGGTTCACTTTGTTATCCTGATGGAATCAGCAGTTTTAATCCTGATGATGCCTCTGTTTTCTTGTGAAGTATGCTTGTGCTTGAGGTAATGATTGCATATGGAATTGCAACATTCTGATCAGTGTGTGCCCCAGGCAGATCCCCTGGAAACGCTGATGGCCACGCTCACTCTGTGCGTGCTCCCAATGCTTGAGAGCCAGCTGAGCTTTGTGCACCCCTGTGCAGGTAGCTAATAAACACCAAGTGTGCACAAACCAAACCCATACCCTTCACATGCTGCCTATCACCGAGATCAGCGTCCCAAACAGGAGAGAAATCAGAGCTCAGGGGGAGAATGCTGACGTGAGAACAGCAGCAACACTGAGTTTCCTCAGAGTATATTAAGAGTGTGTCTCTCTTTCCGTGTTTAAACAAAAGCAATTGAGAAATGACTTATGTTTGTAAAAGCTTTCAAGGTTTTGCGTTTGGCACCTGTGGGCAGAATTTTTTAATGTTCAACTTCATTAAAGTTAATATTAATGAGACAGTAGGTTTTCGTGTTACACTGTAGAGGGGGTTATAATTATGATGCTTAAATGTAAGTACATGAAATGATACGGTTTGTGTTGCATGGATTGTAGGTATCCACACTTTTAAAAATCTTCTCTGTGACAAATGTAACTGGTTATTTTTAATAGGGGAGCTGTTAGAAATAGCCCAGACTTCTGTGATGTGGTTCTTAATGTGTATTAAGGAAAAAATAAGAAATGATTGATTTCTGTATTTTCTGCCCTTGTTTCTAGAAAGGTGACAGGGTTTTTACCATTGCTACGATCTCAGGAGGATACGCAGACTATGCAGTTGCTGCAGCTAATAAAGTCTTTCCTTTGTCCGATAAACTGGACTTCAGGCAAGGGGCAGCGATTGGAATACCCTACTTCACTGCTTACCGTGCTCTTTTCCAAAAGTAAGGTGTCAGATCTACTTTTGTGCATTTTACCTTGGAGTGCTTAAAATACTGAAATTCGTACTTTCATTGTCCTATGAAATGGGGGAGATGAATGAGTGGAAGATGTTTAAAATGCCAGTTCCATTTGTTATCCTGATGGAACAGTCAGGTAACTGTTACCTAGAAGCTATATTTTCCTGTTAAGTATTTCTTCTTGAGAGAACAGACCTGGAAAGGCTTCTCTGACAAGTATCATGTAACAAAGTGTGTAACTTTCAGTGCTCATTGGTTTTTTAGCTAGGGAAGATAATTCTAATTCTAAGGGAAGATAATTCTAAGGAACAATTCTAATTTTTTAATTGAACAGTGTGCTGTAGGGCAGAGCCACATCTATCCTTCATCAGGGAGTCTGCACAGCCTGAGCTGTTGCCTTAGACTAGTATAAGGAGTAAAAGCCCTTGGTGCCTGCTCAGTGAGAGCTTAGGACTGGAAACCTGGTTTGGTTTGACAGAACAGATGATTGGAACTAGTGGGGTTTGGTTTAAGATCTGTAACAGGTGAAGATCTTGCACTGATGTTCAGCACCAGCCTGTTCCCTGCATGTTGACTTTATTACTTACATTCATAAATGATGCAGCTTATTTTGCCTCCTCATTTTCCCAAAGAGGCTGATGATACCTGTTTAGCCATAACACATGTTGGAAATAATGCTGTGTGCAAGGTGGGATTTGGTGTCAGTATGTGCAGTCTGATAATGCTGGTCCTGTGCTGCAGTCACAACGCCGATATTTTCTCTTTTCCATGCAGAGGCTGTGCCAAAGCAGGGGAAAGTGTGCTCGTGCATGGTGCAAGTGGGGGAGTAAGTATTTTGAGAAGGCAAGTTATAAGAAGTGCTGCTTTCTGTCCTGAATCTGCTTTTGCCTGTGGTAGCGTGTATGGTCACATTTATATCAAGAAATGGATTAGCAAAATCAGGATTTTCTCTCAGATACACTAGCTACATCTTTCTTTGAGCAAGCCCTGTTATTCTGAAGAAGCATGAAAGTGCAGGAGTGGTTGTGTAAGGTCCCTGGCACAGAGGACACACGGGAAGCACATTGCTGCAGTCGGAAGTTGGTCTGGGAGCTTCGTAACAGGTTGTGCTCAGGTGAAATGAAGAGTAGGAAGCTGTGATTTTAACATCTGTGCAAGTGTCAGGTTTCCTGTGCAGTGTGTAATGCTGGTATCGTAGCAGGTGATTTGTATCAAGTGTATGTGGCCCAGCTGTAACAGACAGACAACATTCCACATGGATTTATAGCAAATGCTGATAGCTACTAAAAAAACCTCAGGGCTTTGCTGTGCCTCTGTAAATAGACATTTTTTTTTAAAGACTGGCTATTTTTACTATCCAAATCACTTACTATGGCAAAAAACTTGTTACTAGGCCAACTTCTTAAATGGAAGTTCCAAGTGCTGGCAGAATCTATAAAACTTCATATGCTGAGAAAAAAAGACAGATTTTTTTGAAATGATTCTCTTTTGCCCTGCCTCAGGTGGGAATAGCAGCATGTCAGATTGCCAGAGCTTGCGGTTTAAAGGTTTTGGGGACAGCAGGAACCGAGGAAGGCATGAGCATGGTCCTGCGGAATGGTGCTCACCAGGTGTTTAATCACAGAGAAGCCAACTACATCGATAAAATTAAGGTGAGCCTGTACCAGGGCTAGGTGGTGCTGTGTGTGTGCTTCTTACTAACAAAATGTGAATAGTTGCTGGCAGAAGTTTTTAAAGTAGATCTATATGGGATCTACATACACACACAGTAGTGTGCTGCCTCCTTCATGCCTGCACAACTTTTCCAGGCTGGAAGAGCTGAGTTTTCTTCCCAGGCAGTGGCATTCAGAAACTTGCATTCCATCACATTCCAGTGGGGTAGCATGTCATAATTCTGCATACCAGAGTATGCTGAAATTAAATTTAGCTGTCAGCTTTAGTGCAAAGGCTGTCTTCACAATTCAAACACTGACCCACGAAGTGTGTGTTATCTGTAGCGTACGAGATAAACAGTGGCACTCAACACTAATTGGAGGGATTTAAATAACATCTGATGTCCTGCAGGAGTACACAGGGATGGGAGGAGTTGATATAATAATAGAAATGCTCTCCAACATCAATCTTGCCACTGACCTGCAACTGCTGAACTACGGAGGAAGAGTGATGGTGAGTGGGTTTCGTCCCTGACTTCAGTTTGTGCATCACAATTCAGCAGTTACAGCTTGAACCATCTTTTAACTCATTTGTAACAGGTTGTGGGCTGTAGAGGTCCCATTGAGATAAATCCAAGAGACACTATGAGTAAGGAATCCAGCATAACTGGAGTTAGTCTTTTCCTTGCAACAGAGGTAAGAAACACTTTTGTTTCACAGCATGTTTCGTTGGCTTATTCCAACTCCTGCTTCCGGTTAAATCATGTGTAGGGATGAAAGCAGAGTCACTGTAACTGGTTTGTTCATTCCTTTACATCTAGAGTTAATCTCAGAACATCACAAAATACTTTTGGGTTATGAAATATGGTTTAACTTGCATAAATACTCAGTACTTTCCTGAAAAATAAAGACCTTGTGGTAAGCACTGTTCTGTTTCACACAGGAGGAGAAGCATGAGTGTGCAACAGCACTCCTTGATGGCATAGAAGCTGGCTGGTTGAAGCCTGTTGTAGGCTCTGAATATCCACTGGAGAAAGTGGTGAAGGCACATGAAGACATTATTCATGGTAGTGGTGCTCGGGGGAAGATGGTGCTCCTTCCATAGAGTCTTTTTCCAGTTACGCTGTAGCTGTTCCAGCAGCACCTTTGGTTACCTGATTCTCTCATGGTATATTACAAAGCATACTTTTGATGAGGTTTGCCAGTAACAGCAAATGCTACCTTCCATTAATGACATTAATGATCAGTCTATTTTCTTATTGTAATAAGCAGAGTTTCCCATACTTTAAAGTAATTTTTGTAGATTTTTTTTTTTTTTTGGCTGATGTGGAAATAATGGACCTCCTCCACTGGTGTGGCCTTGTGGGGCAGGAGAGCCTCACATCTAAGGCAGGATTTGATATCCTGCTCTCTGTGGGTCAAGCAGATAAAAGAATGTCCATAATTAACTCTATGTATATAGCTGTGACTCTGGAAATTCCTTAGCCACAAAATTTGCTCATCTTACTCATTTTTTTGTCACATAATTTACATGGAATAAAAGCTTTTACTGCCAAAATAGTTCACTTTCCAGTTCAAAAGATGGGAAAAGAACCTCTCAATACGAACTCTTTGGGAGCAGAGGCAGTTGTTGCTGCACCTGACTTCATATCTGAGGTCAAAGCGTCCCAGGTAACCCAAAGGGATGGTGACTTTGGAGCTGCATGCTAATAGCTGCTACTCTGCAGTAGCTGTCCAGCCCTGATTTGACCTTTGCCAGATTTAAAGCGCCCTGAATCCCTGGCTACAGTGCAGAGACAGAGGCTGCACGGCGTGCTCAGAAGTCATGTTGCTTCAGAACTGTATTTACATGGTTGACTTGTTCTAAATACAAATTGATTGAGGAAGGGCATTTTCTTTGCTATATTGACGGTTCTTACCTAAGATCTCATCTCAGTCTCTTCTCTGGTGGGTTTAAGCCATTCCTCCTTGTCCAAAGGAGGCTGCCTGTAGGAGGCTGGAGGGTTTCTTGCAACCCCTTTAGGCACTGGAGCTGCTCTCAGGTCTCCCCTTAAGGAGCCTTCTCTAGGCTGACCCAGCCCAGCTCTCTCAGCCTGGCTCCAGAGCAGAGGTGGCTGTTGAGTACATCAGCTTTCTCCATGTTGGTTGTCACCAGCTCTCCTGTCTTATTTACGGATGGTGGTGCATTGTCTTTAATCTTCCCTCTCTGGCCAACATATCTGTAAAGGCTCTTGTTGTTCTTTGCATCCCTCTCCAAATTCAGCTCCAGTTGTTCCTTAGCTTTTCTAATCCATCCCTACACATCTGGGCAGCATCTCCACATTCTTCCCTGGAGCTGTTCTTTGTCCAGTTTCGTGTTATTTTCTGATTTGAGATAATGTGAGATAATAAACATTGATTTTATTTTTTTTTTTTCAGTTAATAACTGAGTGTAGATATTGACCTCTTCCTACATTTTAAAATGAATTCTAATGCTCGTGCTCACCCTTGGGTTAGCAGTTGACGGTAGCAAAGGCTAGTGTCAGACCTGTTTCTGGCTTCTGCCTTTCTGTTACACACAGATCAGTGTTTTGGTTTTATTAAAGGCACTACCAAGGTCTCATAAGGTTTCATCACTGCTTTAAGTTGGGAACTGAGGCTGAGGCCCAAGAGAGGTGGTGTCCTGGAGGCAAATATTGTTGTGCAAATTATAGTGTGCTGGGGAGGAAATGAGCGTGGATTTCAAGAGTATGAAATTGTGAGCAATAACCCGGGCACATATCACAGGAGAGGAAAGGAGGTCCTTTCAGTGGGGCTTGTGAAATGGATTCAGTTCATACTTCGGATGAAAGAGCAAGGTGTTGGTGTTGAGCAGGGAAGGGATTATTTTTCTAATGCAAGGTTGAGTAACGTACGGTCCCTGTGGCAGTGCATCTCCTGTGTTTGAAATGAGCTTCTTGGGAGGCCACACCGAGTTCTAGATTCAGGTTTGCAACATCGGGCTCTTTCAGAGGTGGGAAGTTCTCTCTTGATGCCATGTTCATTTAGCTGGGACTGCTGCTCAGGCGGTAACTGAGACTTACAGGTAAACATTTCTTTTAATATACCATAGAGACACATCTTACATAGATATATATCTAGAGAGAGATACTTTTCCTGACGAGATATATATATATATACACACATACTTTTTTTTCCCTTGCTATTAATCCTCTACAATCTAAGTGTTTGTATTTCTGCTGGGGTGGGTGGTATTGAGATACTCAGCCTTTATTCTCATTACTGAGCACAGGACTATGTGGGACAGCCTGTGTGATGCCCCAGTGGAGGGCAGCTGGTGTCCCTGTGGCTGCCCTTTCCATAGGAGCAGGGAGCTGCGTTTCTGTGGAAGGCTGAGGAATGGCTCACCCGGAGTAGGGGTGTGGGTCGGGACCGCCTTGGCTGGTGGTTCAGGTGAAGGTGTGATTGCTCCCGTTCGCTCAGGCAGAGCGCGGGCTGAGGCTGGGGTGGTGTGTGAAATCTGCCATTCCACTTGGGAACGCTGCGAGTTCAAACAAAACTTCTAATATGAACGAGGTAATATAAACTTCTAATATGAAGGAGCAGTGGTTAACGGTGGGTACGCCCACGGAGGTGATGATGTGCATATGAAAGTACAGATTTTCCTTAAGACGTACAGTGTATAAAATATTTAATCGTTTGAATCTGGCCGTAGGTCGGGGGTATTGTGCGGGTAAGAGGCTTACGGTGCCCAGCAGCTCCTTTCCTGCTCGGCGCTGGAGCCCAGAGCAGCTGCTCTGTGCGCCGGGGTGTTTGTGAGCGGAGGGTTTCTCTCCGGAAGGTGTCAGGGTGGTTCTTCTGCTCTGGCTGCCTCGCAGCTCCTCTGCAGCGGTAACCGGAGGGACACGGCAGCAGGACCCGGCCGCGTTCGCACTGTAACGTTTAGCGTCCGGCCTTGACGAGCATGGGAGCGGGAGCGTTGTTTTAGTAAGACCAGCGCTGGGCGCAGGGTGCAGGAGGCGCGAGGGGGCTGCGGCCGGAGCCGGGCGGTGTGGGCGGCACTGCTGCAGGGATGGGGGCCCTTGCGCGCCCCGGTCCCTGCCCTGCGGCTGAGGGCGAGAGCTCCGGCTTGCCCCTGCCCCTGCGGCCGGAGCCGGGTCCGGGCGGTGTGGGCGGCACTGCTGCAGGGAAGGGGGCCCTTGCGCACCCCGGTCACTGCCCTGCGGCTGAAGGCGAGAGCTCCGGCTTGCCCCTACCCCTGCGGCCGGGTCCGGGCGGTGTGGGCGGCACTGCTGCAGGGCTGGGGGCCCTTGCGCGCCCCGGTCCCTGCCCTGCGCCTGAGGGCGAGAGCTCCGGCTTGCCCCTACCCCTGCCCCTGCGGCCGGAGCCGGGCGGTGTGGGCGGCACTGCTGCAGGGAAGGGGGCCCTTGCGCACCCCGGTCACTGCCCTGCGGCTGAAGGCGAGAGCTCCGGCTTGCCCCTGCCCCTACCCCTGCCCCTGCCCCCGCGGCCGGGTCCGGGCGCCCCCGTCGATGCCCACCCGGCTGTGGGAGGGGGGAGCGGTTGGGAGAGGCCAGCGCGCAGCCGCCGGGCCCTGGCCCCGCCCCGCGCAGCCGCCCCCGGCGGGGGAGCCCCGCCCCCCGTGTCCTAGCGACGGGGACGCGGCGGCTGCGGGACCCTCACCTGCCCCGAGCCGCCGGTGCCGGCGCCATGAGCGGCCCGCAGGCAGGGTGAGTGCGGCGGGACGGGGCCGGGGCTGGGCGCGGAGCTCCAGTGCGGGGGATGGCGGAGGGGGGGGGGGGGTTCACCGGTGACCGCCGGGCGGGCTGTCCGTGTGCTGCGGGAGCGGCGGGGCCCGGGCGCCCTGACCGCGGCCTGCGCGGGACTGGAGGCACCGCAGAGAGACCCTCAGGGACCGGCCGCGGCTGTGCCCCGGCTCTGGTCCCGGCCCGGGTCCGCGGGGGTGAGTTCCAGAGCACCAAGAGATGGGAGTCAGGGACACCGGGCATCCGCGGAGCTCCATCCGTGACGCAGCCCGTTCAGCGGGCGAGGCGCCGGGTGAAGAAGCGGTGCTGGAGCGCGCCCGCGGCCCTGCAGCGCAGCAGCAGCAGCACAGGAGCCCTCCAGCCCCGTGTGGGCAGTGTCAGGACTGGAACCTGCAGTGGGAGTTGACTGTTTAAAAAGGTTTGAAAATCTCTTTTATGAAAATACCTTCTGTGAAGAGTTATGGGGGCCTCTTTTGTGAAGAAATCCGTAGAACTCCAAACAAAATCCAAGCTTGCTCTTGGAAGATGGTCTCGCTGTAGTCACCACGTAAAGCACTTCTGGACACTGGATGGTGTTAATCCGGTTTTGGGGAGACACGTGTGCTGTGACTGATGGGATTCACTGCACAGATGTGCCAGGAATGCTCCAGCCTGCACAGGCACAGAAGACAGTCACTGTGACAAGCTAACAAGGACCTTGCAGTGGTCTCACTGCAGCCAGCCAGGGTCAATGGGCTCCTTCCTGCACATGTTCAAGCAGACACACAATGTGGTTTCAGGAGACCATGGCCTCTCCCTCCCTTAGTTATCACCGAGTGAAACTGTACATGTGATAAGGGTCCTGTGGGCTTGGAATGAGCCAATTGGTTATTGTTAGACTCCAAAGCCCCATCTAGATTCCAAGTCGCCTGCAGACATCAGTGTTTGGCTCAGCAGCTGTGTTCTGGAGTGGCTCCTCACAAGCACTGTGTCAGTTGTTGAGGTTAATACCCGCAGAAGCCGGAGCTGTGAAGTCCAGGGGTGGTGCAGGATTTGTGCTGAAGGGTGCAGTGAAGACAGCAGCAGCCCTCTGAATGCCTGTGCTGGTGAGTGGGTGACACGATCCCGAACTCAGTGATGGAATTGAACCATCCTTTCATTCCTCAGCCCATGCTGGGCCATTCCCAGCCAGGATTCACACAGTCCTTACCGCCAGGATTTAACGCCAAGTCCCAGTTCCGCAGAAGTCTACTTTTCCCCCTCTGCGGACCCTGACAGGAGCTTATTTGGACATCGGCTATGGCTCACGGTGGCTGAAGAGCTTTGGACAAGGGCCTGTCGGGACAGGACAAGGGGAATGGCTTTAACCTGCCAGAGGAGAGACTTGCGTTCTCCAGGCTGAACAAGCCTGGCTCTCTCAGCCTTTCCCCACAGGAGGGGTGCTCCAGCCCTCCGATCACTTCTGTGGCCTACCCTGGACCCTGTCCAACAGGTCCATGTCTTTCCTCTACCCAGGACTCCAGAGCTGGATGTAGTACTCCAAGGGGGTTCTCACCAGAGCAGAGGGCCAGAAGTCTCCAGAGGGATGTAGGACAAGCCCATGTGTAGTGCCAATATGACCCACTCCCAGAGTTCTTCCCAATGGTTGAATGGGTCTTAGTTCAGGCCCAGAACATTTCCTTGTTCCCTCCAATACCCATCTGAACTTTGAATTTAACTCAGCCTTTTTGAGAACCAGCCTGTTCATAATTCACATGAAACCAATGCATGTCAAGAGGCATCTTTGAATCTAAAGTTGCTGCATTGCTGTGCTCAGCTGCGTGGAAGCTGCGTTTTAACTAGTTATATGGTCCGTGAAGTACTAGATGGAAGGCAGTAAATGAGGAGGAACTGGGTTGAGTTTCTCCTTTGCCTCCATACGCGATTGACGGTGATACTATAAGTCAATACTTGGCACAGTTGATGTAATCTGGTTGTTTCAAATGCAAATGCAAAGAGTGGGTTAGAAAAGTGACGTAGAACAGTTGCTACAGCACCAGTGTTTAATCAACATGTGCAATGGGGTGAGCTGGACTGTTTGTGTAAGGTTTAATTTAGTGCTGGTAGGCAACCTGTGAGATTACTGTGAAGCCTCAGGCAGAATTCCTGCAAATCCATGACCCCTTCTATTTATTTTTTAATTGTTCCTTCTTCCCTTTAGCACGCTTTTTGGATTACTCCATTGGAAGGTACGTAACAGAGGTACAGTGGCATTGAATGTAAGGCCAAAGGAAACAAGAGATCAGCCCCTTGTTGTATGGTTAAAACCTTATGCCTGGAGAGCCTGGGGCTCGGCTGAACATGTCAGGCACCATATATCTGAGAGCATAGGTTTCACAAATGTGAATGGATTTAGTGTATCAAAAACTTGACCTCACTTACTGCCACTTCCGGACACTTTAGGTCAAAACTAAGTGTTCATGGCCAGCTTGGAACCTGCTCTGGTGGAAGATGTCCTTGACCATGGCAGGGGGTTGGAACTGGATGAACTTTAAAGTCTCTTCAACCCAAACCGTTCCATGACTCTGTGATTCTCTGGTCTCTGGAGGTGCCTTCCAGCCCAAGTTATTCCTACAGGTCTCCGCAGGAGCTGCTGTGTCTGTCACCAGTGCAGAAGGGCAGGATGGAGCACAGGCTGTGTGCTGGGGCAGGGTGCTGGTGGGCAGCACACTCGGGTATCCGGCAGGGCCTGTGCCAGGGAGCCAGTCTGTGCTGCTGGACTCAGCCAGGAATCGTGTGCCAGGACCTGTGTGGCACAATGGAGACCTGCTGAGGGTCAGCTTATTGCCAGTGTTGGAGGAGACCTCCAGGGCTGGGCTTTCTGGACCCTGTGCCTTGGCAGTGGTCGCTGTTTGATGCTGAACTCCTGTATCTCATGCCGAAATGGCTTGTTTCTGATATGAAGCTTCCAGATGCATAAGGTGTTGCTTTTACATAATGCAATGGGTATTTATCTGACAAAACACTGGGATTCATCAAGACAGTGTTTTGTGCAGCACACTTTTGGGTAGGTCTTTATAACTTAAACAGTTATAATTTGGCTGTCAAGGGCTTTATATGCGTCTGTATTGATTTTATTTCAGATATCTTGCAACCTACAACAGCCTTACAGACAAACACCTGGTTGGGTATTTCAACAACACCAGGATAAGACGGCATCTTCAGAGATCGGGACTGGTGAGATTGAAAAGTTCCCTTTTATGAGGAAAAAAAAGAATAGAATAAGGAAAAGCATGCTCTGTTTCTTCTACCATTGCACCGGTCAGGCCATGGGTGGTTCTGTTGTTGGTTTGTTAGAGGGATGTGTTGTCCTTGGTGCCAGTTTGACCAGCCAGCCAAGCACATGGCATTATGCTGTGCCAGACCAAAGCCACACAGTCACGCCAGGGCTGGGGCCGGGTTTGTTCAATCAAAGCATTTCCCAGTGCATGCTCACCCACTGCTGGCCAGGGCAGTGGTGCACAAGGCTGTCAGGACACCAGGGTCCCAGGGCCACCTGGGGTTGTGAAGCTGCTGGCACGTGGGTCCTGGTGGGTGATGGTTGCACACTGGAAGCAGTGTGCTAACAGTCAGTTTGGAGGCCATACTCCATAGGATACCACACTAGGCTTCCACTGCACCTTCTGCAATGCAACCCGTATCATGCATATCTGTGGGAAGCTGGGAGCAGCAGGTGGCATGGACTGAAGATGCATTTAAATGCTGGAGAGCCTCCAGCTTCTGCTCAGCAAAGCAGCTTCTGCAGGTTAGGACATAAAGCACTGTATCACTGCATGGTTATGGCATGTGGTAATCTTGTATTGCACATCCAGACAGAAGAAGGTATTTCATGGAGAGGTTTGGATAAATTCAGAATGTTTTTATGGCTTTGCTCCATATTTCTTTTTGGTCATTGGAGTTTGCCTCTGCAACACCTTTCCATTTGCAGATACGCAGAATTGTCTTGATTCTCTCAGGTTCGTTACGCTGTGAAATCAATCTAAGCACCTCTGACTCTATTAGATCTTTAAAGAGCTTCAGTTTTATTTTCCAAAAGTGCTTCATGGAAAGCTGAAGGGCTTGGTAAAAGTGAACCATTTCTAACAGTAGCTGTGCACTTCTGGGTGTGACGGTTCAGCACAGGCAGTGCAACCCCTGCACAGCAGGAAGACAGGCATTCAGTTCCCCTCCACTGACTCGGGCAATGGCCCATGAAGAGTAAGGCTGAGTCCTGCCTGCTGCTGCCGTTCTCTTCATGTGCCTGCTGGGGTCCATGGGGTGGAGGAAAGCCCAGCTCTGTGCTGGGAGGTGAGGTCTAGCCCGCTGCAGAAGCAGAGGTGGTGTCTACCTGGAAAGAGAAAGATGTCTTTGTGGGGAATTGCACTGTGTTAAATACATGCTTTATTCTATCCTCTGCCTTTTAGTTACATTATATTTGTTTGTGGCAGATCTCAAGGAGTGGAAGAATAATCCCTGAGAAGGAATACCGGCTAAATGCTCTGAGGAGGGATCACCAGAGATACGTACAGGAGTGCCTGGCTCGTGCCATATTTCACAAGGTCCTTGACATAGAGGTCTGTGTTTTCAGGGATGTGTCAGCCTCCACCTGCTTCCCCCCTGACAGCCAGTGGCTGTTAACTCATACTGAACTGTTTGCCATAGCTGGGTTGTCGTGCTCCCCTGAGAGGTTCTTTCTTGATGGGAATAAGCACAGTCTTTGTGCTTGATGTCCCCCACATGAAACCTTCACTGGCCTGTAACTATTAAACCATAGTGACACTAGAGCATACACTGTCCTGGCTCACTTAGTGTTGGTTGGCAGTCATCACAATATGGGATGATATTCACAGGGATTGTTCACTTAAAAAATTGTCGTCAAAATGAAATAGTTGGATAAGAGTGATCCTGGATAAGACAGTTACGTATGTTAGCCACGTACAAAATTCAGCATGTTCCTGTTATGTGACAAGAAAGTAGTTGGTCCCTACAACTTTACAAATGCTCAGTTGTTCCCTTGCCAATGTTAACATACTCAGGTGGAATGCAAATGCACTGAATCAGTAGTAGTTTTATAGTAGGACTCAATGAGGGTGATGACCAGGGAGCAGGCAAGTGATAAGCAGAACAGAAGCAAGTGTTTCTACGTTCATTTTCATCTCATAATACCCATTAATGAGATTTCTCTTTCTCTTACATTGATAGCGCCATCATCAGCGGGAAATAAAGCAGCAGCTTGAAAGTTCTGCGAGGAAGGAGAGGGTACAGAAGGTCAAGGTAAGGCTTGAGTGCTCCTGAGTGCGGATGGGACGCGGTGCTCTTGTCCTGTGGTAAATAACAGCCACGAGTCAGGCCAGAGATTCACTGTGCCAAGTGTTCTATCCCTGATGTGAGTGGAAAAAGCGCAAGAACTGGGGAGGTAGAGGATGATCCTTTTTCTATCCAGCAGTTCAGGAACTTCTCTTCTTGCACCTAATTCCTTTTGAATCTACTTACTATTTGGTTCTGCAGTGTCCTTGCCTGTGGAATTTAATGATGAGTTGTATGAAATGGTACTCCCTTGCCTTTGTGCACAATTATTAGTGTATCTGCTGTCTGACAGTTCTGGTTGATGCTCCATTGTTCTTGTTATGAAAAAAATTAATAACTGTTCTCCTTTTCCAAGGCATGTGTGGTTTCACATACCTTTTTCATATTCCTTCTCAGTTTTCCAAGCTGAAGACCCTCAGCCTGTTGACTCTTTCATACATGAGCCTTTCAGGCCTCTCATTACTGTGTCACTTTTACCTTTTCTAGTTCTACTGTTTCTGTTTTGAAATGGGGAACCAGACCACAATGAATAATTCAAGACACGTGTAGCAGTTCTGGTAATTCTAGACACAATGAGCACTGAGCTCATGTTTTCAGTCCTTTGCCTCTCAACATGATATTTAGCAGAACCTGAATGTGAATAATGAAGAATAGCTTCAGAAGTCTTCACTTTGGTGTCATGTAGGTAGGGCTTGATTCTGTAGTTGGTAGAGGCATGGAAATCCCACAGAGGTCAATGGCTCTTCTCCCAAGTGACTGTATGAGTCACTTTGGACTCATATGGGGAAATTTGTTCTCATCTTGGCTGAAATACACACAACACCTTATTTTTCTATCAGGATCCTGCATGCATTGAGAAGAATGCATGGAGAACCCAGCTGCTGCTATAAGCACTTGAAAACCAATGTCAAATCTTCTTAATTTTAAATAATACATTTCTGAGCAATTCATCAGGTAAAGAAAGGGAAAGATTTTAATGAAAGCCACTAGTGATTGTGGTAATTGCAAAGGCACTGACTGCACTGCTGCTGGTAGAGAGTCACTGCAGTGGAGACAGCAATCAAAGCGCTCTGCCAAGGGGTGCTGGACTTGGATATCTTGGGAACATAAACCAAAACGTCCTTCACTAAGAAGTGTAAGGGAGATGCCTGCAGATCTGTGATCTATTTCTTTGCTGTGGTGCCACACTGGGAGCAGGAACCTGGCTGGAATTAGCAGTGTAACTTAATTCTCACCTCATACATTCAGTCAATTGGTCTGAGTAGCTCATCTAAAATGAAAGGAGAAAAGCCGGTGACTGAGCAGGGGAGGACAGACAGAGCTATCTGTTTCCAGAAGGGCAGTCAGCCCAGTGTGGGGCTTTTGAGGAGAAAACGTAGGAAGGGGCAAGAGCCAGAGCAAGGTAGTGGCAGGTGCACTCACCTTGAAGAGACCTTCACCCAAACCAAGAGTTCAGAGATACAGAGAAACAGGCAGATGGCTTGAGTCTGGGGGGATCAGCAGCTGGAGAGGGCTACAGGGAAATGAATTGGAGGTGGGAACAATTCTTTTCCTTTGTCTCTCTCTTATTCTCCCCATGATTTCTTTTCCCTCCTTAAGCAGGTATTGCATTGGGCCCAGACAAGCTGATCTCACAGCTCTCCATTGAAGGACAGACAGAAGGCAGGCTCAGACACTGCTGTTAGGGTACGTAGTACCTCAGAGCTGTAAATTTCTGTTCTTTTAGATGGAGCAGTTCAGAAGATCAGTGGAAGGTGTCAACCCTATGCACTTCCCGCATCCACCACTTGCTCCAAGATATCATTATGGGCTCCATCCTTTTGTGGCTGAAGAACCAGCTGGTCACTCACAACTGGTAAGTTTTCCCACTGATCCATGTGCTATAGGTACACACAGTTGGAAGCGTGCAGGTATACCTGGGGCATCTGTGCTTCTAGAGCACTGACAGCACTGGTCGTTCCAGATTAGGGCCTCGTTCTTCACCACTTGAGGCTGATTTCCTCTTTGCAAGATTGTGCCATTAAAGAGGAATCTCAAGAAGCTGATGTTGCAGGAATGACACATCAGAACCTTGGAAAAAAACAGCTTTGCTTTGTGATAATTCTGCTTTAACCTTTCCCTTTTTTCAGCATTGCCACCCTAGGTCAGGCCAGTGTCAGTACTTCAGGTGTTGTCAACGAATGCTGGGCTGTGGGGAAGTTTACACATGGTGTAAGATCCTGAAAGCAATGTTTTTTTTTCAGAAAACAGAGCTGAAGGAGTGAAGTAAGACTAAAGCTCACTCCAAAGCAAGGCCGTACTTTGGAGCTCTGGCTCAGAAGCCTCTTGCTGTCTGTTAACAGGCAGAGAAGGAATGTTGATATACCCTTGAATATAATGATACTGAAGTCTAAGGTGAAAGTTCACTTTTAACTGGTTTCCCTTTCAATAATGATAATTGGTGCAGAATGAAGAGAGGTTTTCAGTCCTGACTGACCTTCCCCTCTCCACACAGAGGGCACCTGGACACTGTGATTACAGTGGTGGACATCCTCCTCCTCATCACCAGTCCAAGGAGCCTGACTTTTCTATGGTGGTGAGTTAACTCAGCCAAACAGCATTTCAGTTACAGCATTTGGACTCTGAAGGTATTCTGAAGGGGATACGAGGAAGAGATGAAATAAAAAAGCCGGAAAAATCCTGAACATTGAACAAACCCAGGCATGCTTGTGTCATGTATTCTGTCAGTGTCCGTGTGCTGAAGTCACCGAGACAGGCACACCATTACAGCTTCTGTGAGTTCATTCTGTTGGCATCAGGGCTGCACTGTGAAGAGCCAGTAGCAAACCCTGTATTTATGGCCAAGAGTTAATTTGGATGCTCCAGTTTTTGGATGCTCAGAGATGTCTGAAGGGGTCTGGCTCTTTGGGGACAGCCTAGAAAAGGTCTGTTCCTGAAGGTACTTGAGAGTCACTCATCCCTTCCCAAGATCTTGATTGTTGCTTTCTTTGTTTTCCCTCTCAGCTGCTGCTCTGCACTGGAAACTGCACTGAGGTTTCACAGCTGTTTCCTTTTTCCTTTTCCAGACTTCCTGGCGACCCAACACAGCTCCAGGGAACATGCAGCACCCCCCTCGCCTCCAGCCGCTTCGCAGCGGCGCTGCAGAGGGGTCTCTACCAAAGACTTCAAGCTCTAGCCACAGGTGCCACGTGCTGAGATGTGTCAAGCAGTTTGTCACCAGGGTGAGGTCACATTTCATTCTGAAAATGACCTAATGCTGGCGACAGCTTTATAGTACTGCTTTGGTGCTGCAGTTCTGCTGCCAGCAGCATGCCTTCCCAATGGCAGTCAACTTTCCTTTAAACCCTCCTTTTTAACCTCCCCTTAGTTTTCATGGCATTGTCTTACTGGCCTAATGCCCAGTGCTTGATCACAGTGAGGAAAAATGTGGTGACTTCTTATAGCGTAAAATCTCTCTGCATACAGAATTTTCCCCCTCTACATAGACTTTCTGTTGCGTAGAGAGGGAGGCACCTGATTAACACCAGTGACTCAGGAATATTTTCACACAGTCCTACAAGTTTTCATTCTCATCTACAGCTGTAAAGTAGGCAAAAATCCTTTCCTTTTTTTGCCATTCCTCCTCCTAAGGAAACCGGTGGGTCCAGAGAATGAGAGCTTGGTGGAGTAGCCAGATGTGATCTCAATGTGCACACAGCTACTTTCAGCTGAGATTTGGCCTTGTCTTCTGGTCTAGAAAAAACATTCTGTAGTTGGCTTTGTGTTAGGGATTCTGTGGGACTCAAGGATTTTGGAAGGAGCCTGTGACCTGGAGCCACTGACTGGCAGACACTGTATAGATAGCTCCTATTCTGCCATGCATTTGCCCTGTATTGTGATGATCATGATTCTTTCTCCAAGAATTTGCTGTCACTGTCTCTGTGTACTCAAATTATGGGCGATTTAAACAGCTTCTTTAGTGCCCACTACTGACAAGACAGCTGAGTCAGTCACAGACTGTGAAGGTGATGCAGAGCTCAGATACAGAGCATGCAGCACTTGCACTGGAGATGTCTTGTCTTTCAGCTCCTCTATTTGCATTTTGTCCTGAAGGAGGACTAAACCTCCACCACAAATGGGAAAGGGGCGTTTTGAACCACATCTTGTATAATTGATGCCAGATGATGTTGCTGGAAGATTCTGGCTGCCTTGGAGTTTGGGTGCTGAGAGAACACTGCAGTTCTGTGGAGTTGTGCAGTCTTCTGCCTACTTGTGGGCAGGACTCTGCACGGTTACAAGCAGTACATGGTTTATGATGTTATATATATATCATCATAGGATGATGGTATATATATATATGTATGAAATCATAGAATCATAGACTAGTTTGGGTTGGAAGGGACCTTCAAAGGTCATCTAGTACAACCCCCCTGCAATAAGCAGGGACATCTTCAACTAGATATACATCATATATATGAGGGTGACATTTTCAAGCCATCTGCCTGTCGCCTTGCTAATTAGAAGGAAGGGTTTTAGCCCAGAAATGTTTTCATGAACAAAACTGCAGGCACCAAGTGAAAGAATTGTTCTAGAAAGATGTGTGTTACTAAATGTAAAGAGCACTCTGAGCATGGGTGGTGCACTGTGCTCAGTACCTGTTTAATCTGGGTAACTGTTTTGCAGCAGGAGAGGAATGGGTCAAGACTTCTGAATTCAGTGAAGTGTGTGACTGGTGTATCCCCATATCAACTCCCTGCCATCAACAACTATGTGGTGCCAGTGCCACCTCCTCGCCTGCAAAAAAGGGGCCTAAATGCAGAGAGGAATGGGATGCCCAGAGGGAGACAATTTCATCTTGCCACTGCACCCAGTGATGCAGAACAGCCTCCAAAGAAGGTAAGTTATCTCTGACTGCTTTTCTGTTAATGTAGAGGCATATTACCTTCCTCATTGGTGTATTTGCCCAGTGCTGAAAGATGTGTGTAACTAGTTTGCATAAATATTCACTGAATTTTTGAAAGGAAAAGTATTTATAGCTATTAAAATATCTAACTGCCACCCATCTCCCTCTACTAAAACATTTGGTGTTTTCATCAGTGGAGGGGTGAAAGGGTGCTTGAACAAAACCTCTTACTTAACCCTTCCATTTTAGTCAATCTGGTTCTGCTCTGACCATATTGGTACCAGAACTTCAGAGGGATATAGGAAATGCCTTCCATGTATGAAAACTCCATCTGTTGCACTATATCTCCACACAGTGTTGATACCTGTAAAGGCAACTGTTGGGAACCCAGGACTGGGAGGGACGACGTGGATCATTAACGCGGTCCTGACATTTTGGGCAATTCACTGCAGTGGATTTTCAGTTCAAAACCTTTTCCTGCCCTTCAGCACGTTACAAACCACTTCCCAGTTGAAGCAGCTCAAGGCCTGTGCTGCAGATGGGAAGCCCCCCCTGTATGTGGCACGTACTCCTCTGTGCTCACCTGTGTCAGAGCTGGAGCCTGATGCACTCTCTGTGTCCTTCCCGCTGCAGCCCGCTGGAGGCTTCCCCAGGTCCCCGCTCCGCAGCAATGCCTGCGTTACCATGATCTTCCTGGGAAAAAGCGTGCATTTATCTCACGATGATGCTGATTGCAGGGATGAAATCAAAGTCTATCAGCAGCATTGTGGAGGAGAGAACCTCTGTGTCTACAAAGGCAGGCTGATGGCAGGAGGTAAGGATGGGCAATCAGACTGCTCGTATTGATGCTGGCAACATCCTTTTTTGGGGGCTAGAATACTGATGTGGTATCAAACTGATTTCAGCTGAGCTCAGTCAAGATCTGTGCTTCCAGGGGTTTTTGTACCATCTGCCTTCACACTACATCTGGATCTACTGTTTCATGATTGAAACTGAGGTTACTTTTTCAGATTCTGGTGGAAGGAATTTAGAGAACTGATTTAAAATGCTCTAGCTTAGAATAATTTTGTATAAAGATGTACAGTTAATAATGTAAATAATTGTAGCATTGAACTGTCCTTAAGGAGGGGTTTTCTGTTTCTAACTTGCTATAATACATCCATGGATGTTGCTTATTATTCCACAAAGAAAAGTACGTAGTAGGAGCCCAACTCCCATCTCTTCTATGTGAGTTCCATCACACCAGTAGAAGGTGAATTGTGTTCTGGAAAATTGGGAAGACAAAATGGCTGGGAGATTTTCACTTATAGAGAAGAGTGATTCCACAGGCTGTACCCCTCATTCCAGCTACAGGACCCTCTGAGTCTGTGTTTGCACTTTCATTGGGTGTGGAAGATGGTGCATCGACGGGGCACCTCTGCTGTGGAGACAGGAGAGAGGGCTAGTGGGAAGGGTCCCTGCCCATGGCAGGGGGTTGATGATGAGCTTTAAGGTACCTTCCAACCCAAACCATTCCAGGAGTTTATGGTTCTTTGAGGCCTGAACAATCTGTGCACAATGTGCACCCTCGTAAGTCAAGAGTTCACCTTGTTGAGGTGGGAGCTCTGATGTCTGTTCCACTGTAGCAGTGAGTGGCCAAACTGGGGACATATTTGCTTGTCCCAGATGTGTCTAGCTTGGTTCTCTGGGTTGGAAAGAGACAAGGCTGCTGTGTAAGGAGGAGGCAGAGTTTTATCAACTACTTAATGCAGCTGAGAACAGTGTACCTGACCTCAGAGGGCTGGGTACTTTAGTGGTGGTGCAGGTGAGATAAAACCATTGCAGTGCTGACAGTATGGTAGAATCCCAGACTGGTTTGTGTAGGAAGGGAGCTTAAAGCTCATCCAGTTCCAACCTCCTGCCATGGGCAGGGACACCTTCCACTAGAGCAGCTTGGTCCAAGACCTGTCCAAGTAAGTCCCAGTATAGCACAACCTTTTTCTCTGAACCTTTTCTGTGATTACAGAGACCTTTCAGTTCATCTCAAAGAGGCACCGTGGTTTCCCATTCAGCCTCACCTTTTTCCTCAATGGGATACAAGTGGACAGATTGAGCTGCTGCTGTGAGTACAAGCATCAGAAACGTTCCAGGCTGGGAGGCAAACATGGGTCCTTCGCGATTCTCCATGTGGAGGGAGCATCTCCTTGCTACAGGTATGGAGATGAATGCACTTTGCTCACAAGGACTCAGCAGCCCAGTTTTCAGAGAGTTTATCGCTTGTTTCCTCTGTTTTTTTCCATCTGGCACCTCAGAGCTCTGTAGAACCTGTCTCTTTCTCAGTTCTCCTTGAAAGCACAATGGAGCTTATCCCTCAGGGTCTCACAGCCCAGGATGCCACCAAAGCCAGCTGCCTCTGTGCAGTCACCCTGTAGAGCAGCAGAGCAGTGGACAGGGGCTGCACCGGGTCTGTCAGCTTGCACAGCCTCAAGCCTTCTCTATTGTGCCATATTATTTTTGACTCCAGTCTAACACTGAACATGATTTGTGTAGATGTATTACTTAGTATGTTCAAAGCAGTGAAAACAACCTGAGTTCAGAACGGACACAGTGCCTTCAGAGCTCAGGAAATGCCCAAATCTCTGTTTCTGTCTGATTTCTGGAAAGATTTGAGTTGAATATTCTGAATTAATGTAGTCTCCAGAAACTAGATAATTTCCTTCTGAGTTGCCCCCATTTCCTGTCCCACCTCCCCTCTTATACTTAGTGATATCTCTGTTTTCCTGTCTCTTGTCTTGTCCAGCCAACCCTATCTGGTGACTAAAGCCCATCTCCGTTAACTACATTCTCCCTGTGCATGACAGCTATTTTCACATCTTCAGATCAAATGCACTAGTATTTGTTTCTGCTTCAAATATGACACCACATCCACACATTAGATACCCGCTCTGATTCTCAGCAAAGATGCCAGCTGGTCTGCCCTGTTGGGTTCAGGCTTCGGTTCACAAAGAGGTGATGCCGCAGTGATTTCTACACTGATGCTGTGGTCCTTGCACTGAGAGTTTTGTGCTGGCCTAGGTCCAGCAGAACTCCATCAGTATCTTCGAGGTCCCTGAACAAAATACCAGGAATGAATAACTACAAGGTAGGACTCTTCAGTAATTGTCAGGTTTACATTTTATGCCCTCACTCAGAACTAAAACATTTCTGGACTGGATGACTGTGGGGTGTTTCACAGTAGTTCATCAACAGCTGGAATGTGAGCAGAGTTGCAGTCAGGGAAAGGAAAGGAAAAATGGTTTAAGACACAGTTGTTGTCTGTGAGGAAAATATGGTTTTCCAGAGAGACTTGAAAGTGAGACAGAGTCACTGTCTCACTCCAGAGAGACAGTGAAAGTTCCAGTTTCAGCTTCATCCTCTGTTTGCTGATCTGAGTCTCTGTACTACATCCAGCATGATGTCCTGGCACCCATGGGTGCTGTAGGGTGGCTTTGGTGTCTGCAGTTAATATTAATCAGGATTAGGGACTCTGGTCTCTTGTATGAGCCTCCTAACTTATAAGACACAAAGGCTGTCACTCCATTTTATACAGGAGGAGCAGTCTCAACAGGTCATCCAAAATGCTTTGTTTTCCAGCTATTTGGGTTGCTGTTACATAGGCAAAACAGAACAGAAACTGCAGATAACTCAGTTTCAATTTCCCTCTTCCCCTGCAGTCATTAGACCCAGCAGACAAATAAAACCCCCCAAACAGTCTTATCCACAAAACCTGAGTTCCTGCTTTATGGGTATTACAGCAGGGTCTGGGTCTAGCATGTCTGACTCAGAGCTTGTCTGCCTTTCCCAGTGGTTCTATCTTTATACTTGGTGTAGCTTGAAATCACTAGATGATCTTAAGGTCCTTTCCAACCCTAATTATTCTATGATTCTATGACACTTTGCCTTTAATCTATTTATACTTTAGTTGTCTTCTCCTTCAAGAAGGGCTGCATCTGTGTTAGTGGAGCTCCTGAGGGTCTCAGGGTGCTTCTCCAAGTGGGTCGTTACCCCTGCTGTGTAAGGGGCAGTACAGAGGCACCAGGTTTCACTGTTGGTAGTGGCTGAACAGTTCACTGCATCTGCTGCCCTCCCATCCTTCACAGAAAGAAAAGCATGATATTTACTGTTTTTTTATAGGTGCATTATTGCAATGGGTCTGGACAAAGAGCCATCCCCCCCCAAGAGGAAGGTGAAGGAGGACCATGAGGAAAAGTATGTGGGTTTCTGGGGAGATGGAGCCTATAGTGAGCCAAGCAAAAGCCATGTTGAGCAGAAATCAAGAAGAAATTCAGTGTTAGTCATCCTGCCAAGTCATGAAGCAACTGTGGAAACTGCTGGGGGTGAAATGAAGACCAAACGGGAGTATGGAAAAGAAGAAATGAAAAAGCCAGCTGATAGTGAGAGGGAAGACAGTCAGGAAGACACCATTAAAAATGGTACAGTATTCCAAAACACAAGCAGGGGGTGACAAATGGGAGAGGATGACTGTGGAGAAGGCATGGGACTGCGTGCCTCCAGCTTTGCCTGAGGCATCCTCTCTTAGGATGCCTCATGTGTGAGAAATGGGGTGATGCCATGTCTGGGCAATGAAACTTGTGGGGTTCCTTTGGGCCAAGCACCAGGCCGAGAAGGTTTTGCAGAGCCAGGAAGGAGGGTCTGAGGGGCTGAAACGGGAGCCTGAGGTGTGAGAAAGCAGAAGGCACATGGGGCATGGTGAGGGAGGAGGTGGCAGCTGGTGGAGGATGCATGGAGCGGAAGAGAGGGCTGGGGCTGGGTGGGCTCCGAACGGAGATGGACATCAGTGAACGGAGACGGTGGCCACGGGGGCAGGAGGTGGAAGAGCCTTGTGCTGTGGGTGGGGATGGGCTGTGGAGGGAGGAGGCTGGGTGCTGGGGCAGAGCAGCAGTGTCAGCGCGATGGAGCTCCCGATGGAGCCCTTCGGTCTCCCTCCTGCCCATGGGCAGGGGTCAGGGCCTTGCTCACCAGGGCTCCTCCAGCCCTTTCTCTCCCGCACTGCCCCAGGCACCATGGGCACGGCCCCAGCCTCCAGCAGCTCATCCCTGTGCCCCAGCTCTGCAGCTCACCTCTCGCCTTCCCTGCTCCCCTTGCAGTGCTGCTGTGCAGCGTCCTCATTATTCCCTGCGGATGTGTGTCGTTAATCGGGCCTTTCTCCCTCAGGAGGTGGGCTTCTTTCTCACAGTTACCCGCAGAGGTCTCGCTCCCAACAGGGCAGCTGGAATCTCAATTGATTTTTGATACAGAGAATAAATGTTATTCCCGTAATTCTCGTTGCCTGGGTAATGGTTTATTTGACTGATTGGTTCTGCATCCGGTACTCTTCATCTCTGTCCTCGGCATTCTGTCACTCCAGTACTGAAAAGCTGCGATGGAACAAGAGCAGTGAGCAATAAGCTCTGCGCAGTGAGGCTTTGTGGCAGAGGAACAGCTGGTGGCAGCACTGTAGCACTCCTGCGCTGTTGGGGTCCCTGCTGCATGCAGTGTGCTGGTGGCGGCAGTGATGATCCTGGGTTTAAATGGCACCAAACATCTCTGTGCATTCCAACAGCACAGCCTGGCCTGGGAGTAGAAGGGCTCTCCAGTGCAGGTGCATGGACAGCCCTTGTCTGTAGACCTGAGCAAAGGGAAGGTGTCTATCAGATGTCACACCTCGCCAGGCCAGTAGTAGCCTGCTATGAAACCCAGACCTGCTGGTGTAAAACTGCCCTAAGCTTCATCTGTACTTTACCTGGGACCTGAAGAGTGTGTTGGAACAGTGTGATACAGGCTGTTCCTCTGCAGCAGCCTTTGGCTGGGTTTAATGAATTCGTTTAGTTTGTATGCCTCTTCTTTGCTAATTAACCGTGTGAACCCATGATCATCTTCCTGGACATGACAATTTATTACCCTTCCCCAGCTTTCTCTAGTGCTTGTATTCTTTTTTCATCACAAGTTTCTTTCCTGTAATGAGACTGTCTTGCATTCTATTTCTGAGTTTGCCCAGCACTTAATTTTCCCAGCCCTTCCAGTGACTAATGAGTGTGTTTGGTTTGGGTTTAATGTACTAATCATACTTGGTGCCATTCAGTAGCTTTACTGCACTTTTGCTGCTCTACCTATGAATAACATGATGCTTTTTTATGATAACGCGCTCCTACGATTCCTGTCTGTGGTCTTAGATTTTCTCGTGGCTTTAAAAGGACTGAGCAAATGCAAAGGCAAGGGGGCATTAATGAAGTTCCACTGCTTGAAAAGAACTTTATTAGTTGTGAAGTTCTTTTCCTGTCTCACACTGTGATTCTTTTATTTTAGAGTATGATGAAGATTTTGAAGCAGATGAGGAAGTTAATGAAGAGGGACAGACCAATGATCAAATGAATGGGATGTCAAAGTCACCCTCAGATGATAAAAACCATAATTTAGACTATGAAAATGAGAGCAAAATCTCATCACAGAAAGCACTGCAGACCTCTGACAGCGAGGAGGATGAAAGTGATGGGTATTCCGACAGCAGCTCTGAGGATGATGAACAAGGTTAGTGTTTTTTGTAACGAGGCTTGGAGAAGCTGACCTGATGTATATCCGGTACATCTGTTGATAGGAAAACCCATGCAATTCCTATGGAATTGGTAAAAAATAACTGTTTTATCTCTTGCTAATTCTACCTTCTGTCACTGACATACAGCCAAACCCAGTGGCAGGGTGTGTGTGTTTCAGCTCACAGCAGGCTTTGCTGAACTAGTTAGAAATGGAGATGGAGCCAGTCAGCAAATTAGCTCTAAACACTTGAGCGAGTGAGCACTGTTTCTCAAGGTGAATGGAAACACTACTTTCACATCTGTGTTTGGGGGTGAGTTAAGCAGAGGTGATCCAGCTGCTTGTGACAAGGTTGCAGCTGCAAGAAAGGTCCAAGCTTTTTACAGGAAGTACAAAATCCACCAGAGTGTGAAATCAGGTTTGAAAGATCCTGGTTTATAAAACCAATCACTGCTGTGTCCCCAGAGAGTCTTGGTTTTTGTTCTCTCTGATAGTCGGGCACTGATCACTCGCGAGCTGTGAACAGTCAGTGAGCTCTGCTTCCACTGTCGCTTTTGGAGAAAGGGGGCAGAGGAGCTGCCCTTACCTCATTATCCCTGCTCTTTGCTGAGGCTGTAGGAAGAGACAGGTAATGCTCTGACTTGGCATTCGGTATTTTGTGTAAGGAGCAGTTGCCAAACAACAGGTGGGGAGCCAGGGGGGCTTTTAGAAGTCTAAACATGCCAGTACAATAAGTAATGAGAGACACATGGATTAGGAGCTAAGGATACTGATGGAAGAGCCTTTATGTTATGTTGTGAATGGATCTGTTCTGTGCTCGGAGCTGCGTGACTGCTCCCCATGGGTGTAAAACACTGTCAACAAGAGGAGCAGTGCTTCCAACATTTATCTTCTCTGGACAGGAAGCCTGGAGGGAGCTCCTGAGTCCTTATTTACTACTGGTAAAAGGTAGACTGTAACATCAGATGGGGATGGTTTAAGGTCACTGCAAGCTTTGTGAGACATTTCAGATCATTAAAGCTTTGGATTTCTAGGGACTTTGCATTTAAGTTTGAAGGCCAGGATGATCTTTTGTTCTGGATTAAGTGCTTAATGTTCCAAGAGGTTTCTGTGCTCGGGGTGGTAGAAGTATCCAGAAACCAGTTGGTATCTACTTCTTGGTGCTTGCACAGAATGTGTTACACCCAGTAAAGAGTGGAACCCAAACTGGTGCAGGGTGTTTCCTTCTGAATAGTGTAGGAAAGGTTCATCATCTCCCAGAGGTCTATTTGCTGTTACCTGGTGGCACTGAGTCCTCATCTAGTTTTATCCAGATTCTTTAAAGAAAATAAGCTTTTCGCATTGTTTCCCTCTGGGCAGTGATACCTTGAGCACAAATCCCAAGAGTTTTCATTCCTCTTTCCTATCTGTTGATCTTTTATATTTCCTCTTTGTAATGAAATCTTTCTCCTGTTGTTTTCTGCCATAGCTCAGAAGAGATAGAGAGATAAAAAAGGTGGGGGCTTTTCCCAAGGGAGCTGTACCAGTAAATCTATAAAAACTAAGGGTTCCTTGGTAATTCTGAGGACAAAAAGATTTTTCCATTTGGATGGAGGACTCTTGCTCTCTAGAAATAGTTTACATGGAAATATTTCAAGCAACTTTCGTAGCAACTTCTAGTTCCATTGTTGGGACTCAAGAACCTATTTGAAAACTTTTCTGAGTCACGTTTTAGGGGTGCTTTTGGAGTGTATTTCTGTGTGATTGATGGTTCTAATCTGGTTCATTTCTGTTGTCAGAAAAAAACATGTTAAATAGCTTTGACTTTAACCCTTTGATACATCTGGGCACTGTTCTTCTATTACCCTTACTGGAGTTTTGCCACAATACCCTCAGATGGTGCAATTCAGAGGCTGATACCAGATGAGTGTCTGTCCCTTTGTGCACAGCAAAGGGAACTAGTGGCCAATGAAGGCAGATGTAGTGACAAATGCTACACCAAAGTTCTGTTTGCTGTTTCTAGGTGGGAGGCCTGTGCACTCTCTCTCATCCGTCAGCACCCAGTACAGCAGCGAAGATGACTCTCGTGCTGAAACAGTGAAAGATGATGTTGAGGGCAAAGAGGAGCATAACGATGAAAGGGCATCTAATAACACAGCACATGAACAGTTTGGAAATGAGAATGGGGAGAATAAACTGCACAGAGTGGAGGAAAATCAGGAATCTTCTGTACTGGAAGAGGAAGGGATAGATGGAGCACAAAAGGCAAAACCAGATCTAACAGCAAGGGGAGACACTGGAATTTTTCATGAAAATACAACAGCAGTACAGCATAAAAGTCCTGAAGTTAACAGGGAACTCGACGAGGCTGCGTCAGTCCAAAGTGACACAGGGGAAGATGAGGAGAACACCAGTACTGGGAGAGGTGATGGGGAAGAAGGTGTTCTAGTACCTTTGGAAAGCAGTGTGACGGAAGTGGAGGACAGCAATGATGAGGATGCTCGCAGTGACGAAGGAGGAGGTGAGTACAGTCCCTGGCACAACTGTGAGTGACTGGTGCATACAAGGGTTGCTGTGTTTGCCTTTGTACTCCTTCGTGGTGCAGCATGGGGAATGCCACTGCTGAACTGGTTTCAAGCTTCTGCAATGCTCTGTGCTGCTGTGAGATAAATAACCACCCAGAATGTCGCCTGGGTTTATTGGTTCTTTTCTAGTGTTGCCAATGTAACCCAATCTGTGTGCCAACTGGAGGACAGTTTATACTGTCAAAATGCTAGCTCAAAAATAACACTAAAAATTACCCTGGGAATCTTGGTGCAGCAGATGAAGGCGAGACTGTCAGTTGATCCGTGGTTGTGCTGCTTCACTCTGGCATGGACTTGTTGGCAAGGAGTAAATCTATCAGTTGTGACACCTCGTTTCTACTGTTGACAAAATGGGCATTGTGCAGTTTCAACCTTACCTTCCAGGGAAACTTCATGGGAAACTTCATGGGCAGTTAATAAGAGGTTGGCCACATGAGCAAGGTTTGCATTATCATATCTGGGGAATAAGAAAAAATGTGAGCCTTGCTTTGCAATGCCATCCAAGTCATGGGGAAATGTGTTGGATACTGTTAAATGAGGCAGAACAGCATCTGTGCTGGTGCTGACATAAGGGACAGCCACAGGCCATGGTAGATGGAATTTCCAGTTGTCTTTCTGTGTGCTGGGTTTGCAGTGGAATGTAGAATGCTTTTCCTTTATGTCACAGCAGGTTTTGGCTCTGTTTCTATGGCTGTTTACAGCATTGCATCCAAGGTAGCTGTGTGTGGAATAAACAGTTCGACTGCTGGTGCTTAATGCTTGGCAAGTCCATTGCTGCTGGGTTACTTTGTCTTGTGCATTGCTCTTGCTTTGCTATGCAATCAGAATTGAGACAGTGACAGTAACACACTAGTCACTGAAGAGTGCTGAAGTCTTCAGAGAAGTTTGCTTCTGGAACCCTTCTCTTCCCTTGTGGGAAAGAAACTTCAGTCTCAGCACCTTTTCCTCTAGGCTCAGATGAGTTGGGTGAGGACTGCTGAAGGAGAAGGAACTTTAAAAACCTGGAGGACAGAGATTGTGCTGTAGTAGAAAACCAAGGAAACACCCATCGGATGTGCCAGGCTGGTAATCTGGCACTGAGTTAGCCAAGAGAATAGTGTTGTTCTTTGGTGGCATGAATTCCTTTGTGCTCACATCAAGCACTCATGGTTCCATGGCTCTAGGTTTAAACAGAGATCCCCTATTGCATACAGATAGTCTGAATGTAACAGAATTCACTTCTTGATCAAGTCCTGCATCATCTCTGCTGCCAGGAGACTACCTGAGACTCAGGGACAGTGCAGATCAAGAGAGGGCAAGAAAAATCATTGACTCATGACAGCTGCAGACAGGAACATCTTCCTAAGTTGCAGATAAATTTTTCCCCGTCTACATGAAGTTTGTCTAGGTAAATTTTATAGTAAATAAAGAGTTGCCAAGAAACTGTGTGGAGAGCAGTGAAAGGAAAAGATAACACTTTTTGAGGTATAATGGGCCTGCTAAAGAAATACGGTGGGGTAATAAAGGCAATATGGGAATCCTGGCTTATCCCAGGCACTTTGCACAGTGGCTGCCGTGATAAAGATTCTAATGCAAAATATAGGGAGATCTAATGAGGGTGCTGAGGCGCTGGCACAGGGTGCCCAGAGAAGCTGCGGCTGCCCCATCCCTGGCAGTGTTCAAGGCCAGGTTGGACACAGGGGCTTAGAGCAAACTGCTCTAGTGGAAGGGGTCCCTGCCCATGGCAGGGGTTGGAGCTGTAGGAGCTGTAAGGTCCCTTCCAACCCAAACCAGTCTGGGATTCTGTGATGCTAGGAAACGCCTGATGATTACACCTCCCACTACTCCAGCCCTGCAGCAGGCTGAGATTAGAAGCCCCTGGAGATACCAGGGTCAAAAGAGCTCAGCCCTTTACTGGGAGCGCAGAACTGGTTCTCAGTCTGCTCTTGGGCGTCCCTGACTTTTTCACATGAACTTCCCTGTGGGACTGGTCATTCCCATCAGCCTCCATTGAGATGAGATGGGTACGGTGCTGTTCTGGCTTTGCCCCTGCAAGACCCATCGTGCTCTGCTCGTGACAGGGTTTCTCACAGCCAGTGCTGTCATTAACAGTGCAGAACGTGTTCAGCAGAGAAAACTGCGTGTGTGAAGAAAGCAAAAGGTTCAAAGTGCTCCTCTGGGTGCTCTTCTGGGTGGCTCCTGGGCAGGCCAGCATGTGCTCAGCATGACAGCTCTGTCAGGAACATAGACATAGCTGGGACAGCCCCTGCTGCGTGTTCTGGTCCTGCTGCGTGTTCTGGTCCTGCTGCGCTCCTTGTGACAAGGAGCTGCTGATCCTAAGAGAGAAGTGCTGTGAGCAGTGCTTGTCACCCTGCCGGGGCCCTGAGCCCTGACGTGTCACCCCCCTTTGGCAGAGGTTGCACAGGCAGTGACTGCAGAGCATGCAGCTGCCCTAGAGCCAGAGCAGTAAATGTGCACCACACCTGGGAAAGCACCGGCTGGGAGGACGTGCTGCCTGTACCCTGCGGCAGGCAGCCAAGGGGTGTCCTGGAGCAGAAAGCTTCTTGTCTGCCCTGAATGACTGGAGCAGGATGCGCACGACTGCAGAGACTGCGTCAGGATCCCAGGAGGAACCTTATGAACCTCCCTGCTGAGCTTCCATGGCTCCTTACTGCTTCCCCCCAGTGAAGGGGGAGAGCAGGGAGTGAAGCTGCCGCTGCCCTTTGGGAGCTGTGGCCCAGGCAACTGGGGGCTTGTGCTGCCTTGTGGTCCCCAGGCTGAAGTGGTCGTTTGGAAATGTGCTCACAGTTCTGTTCAGAAGGGTGGTGCATGCAGGGTGCTGATGGGGTAGGACCAATGAGTGTAAGCATGAAGTACGAGGAACCACAGGAGGAGGAGGAAGAGAAAATAGACACAAAATTTAAAACAAGAAGAATAATGCCATAGGCAAGGGTGGGTGGAAAACCAGAATCAGCAGGGGAGGAAGAAACAGCCCCATAGGAAAAAGCAGAGAGGTGGGGAAAAGGTGAAAGCAGAGAGTGTGCATGGGAAGAGGGAGGCAGGGATGTGGGAAGAGTGCTGGTTCTGGGAAGATCGTTGGTGAAGATACTGAAAAGTGTCTGTGTTCTCACTGAGCCTGGAGAAGAACTTGTCTTCTAGAAACATCTAGAAACCAGGACACGGAAAAAGTGTCCCTGCAGCTCTTCTGCTATGTAGATGAAGCTGGGAAGTGTACTCCATGTCACCTGCAGTAATAAGATCTGAAATGTTGTGATTGTCTCCTCTAAGACCTGAACCCTGGGCTTGACTGAAGTCTCAAGTACAAGTAGTCCGCTGAGTTTCTCCCTTTTGGACAAGGACTTGGCTGTTCTGTATCTGGAATGTATGAGCACCAGCACCATCCTGGCAGCAACAGGGATTACACAGGTCTCACACTGAGCCACAACACAAACCAAGGCAGGAGCTGTTGCAGAGATGCACCTGAAGGGCTGCAGTTCCTCGTGGGCACAGCCAGCAGTAAAACCAGAAGCAAGGTTTGGTTTTATGCTGCCAGTCAATGTCAGTAGCAACCTTGGAAGTGATCTGTGTGAGAGGCTAAGCCAGTAACTGCAACAGGAAAGGAAAGATACAGAAAGCTGGTAGAACTTGGAGGGAGAAGCCTGTCTGCTGGAGGGGAGAGCTCCTGGGAGAGGTTTGGGAGGGACTGGACTGTGTATGTAGCTGGAACACTGCTCATAGAGAGCTTGTTCAGTTTTTCTAGCTTGAAAGCCACTTGCATAATCCTCCAGCAAGGCATAAGCAAGAGTGGGAGGGATGCAGTCTTAACAATAACGTTGAACATGTGACTTGGCTGTGAAGGCTCATTGCATGTACAGAGCACAATAATTCCCACTTAGCTGTAGCTAAGCACAAGTCTTTGGTCACTTGTGTTAGTTTGAGGGATTGGGGGATCCTCAGAACTGCAGTTGGGAGCTTAATATAGCATTTTAAAACCATGTTCATAAACCAATAATGATTTTATATCTATAAACCAATGCTGTTGCTTGAGTGTTGACCAGCCTCAGAGCAAAGCAACCTCGCTGTCTGTGAAATGTGCAAGATGGCTGCTCTGTGCGTCAGTGGAGCTCCTGCGTGGCTCTTCCCTTGCATTCTGAGTGATTGTCTGCTTTTGGGTTTACTCTTTTATTTAACTGTAATTACCTTCCTGCTGGTGAGGGCTCACACGGCTCTGGTCAGGCTGGCCCCAGCATTCCAGCTCTGGGGTCAGCTGAGATTGCTGAGTGACTTCCATGCTCCTCTTGCTTTTTAACAGTTTCTCTTGCTTGCTCTCTTGTAACCCTGTGCCAGTTTTTGATGATTGCAAACCAGCCCAGGCGGAGGTGGCAAAGGCAGTTGGAAATGATCACCATGTGAATTCCGAACCTGAACCTGGTGATTCCCATGTGGATGAGGAAGAAGAGCACCTAACAAGTGCAGAGCATGGTGGCAGTGAAGGTGAGGTCAGCTGTCCATTGGGGATGTGAATTAAATCTTATTCATCTGAAGTCTCTTTATAGAAGCGTTTGCCTTTTCTTTTCTAGGCTCCAGACCCTCCTTGTGCTCTTTCCTTACTCGTGTACAATGGGGTGATGCCTAGCTACCTTCTGTACCCATGTATCATTAATGCTTTTTTGGCAGTTATAATGGTCCTAGGTAAAGAATCCAGGCCATGGGAAAACTGGCTGCCAGTCAAGGGAACAGCTGTGGGAAGCAGGAATCTAGTGAGCTTCCCTTCTCTTCCAGCTGGCACAGGGCTGCCTTGGGAAAGGGAAGGACAGGAGTGACAGACTTGATCCCCAGGCTGTTCCCTATGTGTCTCCCAAGCCCACCTCCCTCTTAGCAGTTGGCGTAATTGTCAGGGAGGAAACTTCAACTTGATCCTGATTCCCACTGAGAACTTTTCTGGTCCAGCCACCCTGGCAGCTTACTGCTGCAGACAGCAGAGCCTTGCATGTTGTACATTAAAGCCACCCTGCTGCAGTGAGCCACAGGGACAGGACATGATAAGATTCCACTCCACAGTAGCAATGAGGCTGAAAAGAGCAGAAAACCAGAGGTTAAAACTAACTTCAGTCTGCTCTGGCTATTGCTCTTCCTTTCCCTTCCTCCATCCTCTAACAGGCAGAATAGGTCTTCTATGTTGCATTAAAGTGCTGGTTGTGCACTGTCTTCATTGAATCATAGAACCATAGAATAGTTAGGGTTGGAAGGGACCTTAAGATCATCCAGTTCCAACCCCCCTGCCGTGGGCAGGGACACCTCCCACTAAACCATCTCACCCAAGGCTCTGTCCAACCTGGCCTTGAACACCACCAGGGATGGAGCATTCACAACTTCCCTGGGCAACCCATTCCAGTGCCTCACCACCCTCACAGTAAAGAACTTCCTCCTTATATCCAATCTAAACTTCCCCTGTTTAAGTTTTAACCCATTACCCCTTGTCCTATCACTACAGTCCCTAATGAAGAGTCCCTCCCCAGCACCCCTATAGGCCCCCTTCAGATACTGGAAGGCTGCTCTGAGGTCTCCATGCAGCCTTCTCTTCTCCAGGCTGAACAGCCCCAAATTTCTCAGCCTATCTTCATACAAGAGGTGCTCCAGCCCCTGAGCATCCTCGTGGCCTCCTCTGGACTTGTTCCAGCAGTTCCATGTCCTTTTTATGCTGAGGACACCAGAACTGCACACAATGCTCCAGGTGAGGTCTCACAAGAGCAGAGTAGAGGGGTAGGATCACCTCCTTCAACCTGCTGGTCATGCTCCTTTGAATGCAGCCCAGGATATGGTTGGTTTCTGGGCTGCAAGCGCACACTGAAGCCGGCTCATGTTCATTTTCTCATTGACCAGCACCCCCAAGTCCTTCTCCGCGGGGCTGCTCTGAATCTCTTCACTGCCCAACCTGTAGCTGTGCCTGGGATTGCTCCGACCCAGGTGCTCCGACCCAGGTCTTCTACATTGGTGCATTCATCCAGTGTGTTCCAAGTGTTTTTCAGGCCAACTGGGAGCCTTTTCGTCTTCTTGCTCTATATAATCCAAGAACAAACAGGCTTGTAGGGTTTGTTGTCTTTCATCCAGGAGGTGTATGCAGGAGGCTGGAGGTTCCTTCTCATCTCTGGTCTGTCAGTAATAATTGTCCTCTCAGTAATTCTTTCTCTGATGATATTGCTTCAGCTGGCAGCAAACAACTGTCTAGAACATTTAATTTCCAAGCCCAGTGGTCTTTGTGTGTTGGTCTCCACAAAGATCTATGTTTCTGATGTACAGACCAGGGCAGAGAACATGTTGTTCCTGGACTTTGCCCAGTTTGAGAGAGGGTGGCTTGGAAAAGACATTGCTCCTTCCTCCGTGCAGTGGCACAAAACTTCTCAGCTCCTAAAGAACAGGAACCTGCCAGGTTTGCATGGAACACAGGTGCAGCAGTACAGGGTGCTGGGGTGATGGCTGGGGACACATCCTGGAACACTGGATTCCCAGGGGGTGGGAATCGATGCTGTGCTATTGCCCTGGTGTAATTACAGCACCCATGGGCAGTTCCCCATTCTGCAGGAGCAGCTGAGGATTCTTCCTGTGTGTGCCTATTTCACATGAGCAGTTTGCACCTATTTCTGCGTGTTTGAATGTCACTGTAGCTGTAGCTCACGCACCCGAGGTCCCAGAGAAGGCCGGTCAGGGAGGAGGGCGCGCAGGCAGGCCCACCAGAGCTGGAGGCTGGTCATGCATTGATGTCTTGGCTTCAGTGAAGTGTGCTAGGCGCCAGAGGAACAGCATTGGGAGCACAGCCAGAGCATGGTGGGTGATGAGAACAGCACAGCAAGTTTTCTTCTGGTCACCATGCCGATGTCACTTCATTGCTCGGGTCAGATCACATCCTTAATGATAACCCTGTAAACAGCCTTCACACTAACACAGTTCTCAGTAAAACTAATGTTTGATTGTTCCCTAATAGCGCCAGATGCAGCCTCCTTGGTAGAAGGAGCAAGAACACTTGATGAGCAGAAGGCAGCAAAACAAGCGGTACAAGATGGGCAGATGAAAGGGGAGAAGCAAGCACTTGAGGAGGAAGAATCTGTGGCTGAGGGAGGAGATGCTCGATCCAAAGAGGCAGAAGAAGTGGCACGGGTGGGAGATCTGCTGCCCAAGGAGGACACCGTGGCTGTGCTGCTGATGGAGAGTCTGCTCGCGGTGTGGGAATCTGCACCTGAGGAGAGCACCCTGGCAGAAGGAGATCCCAAAGGACAGGAGACATGGAAGGGAGCGGAGACTGGTGCAGAGGTGGCACCCGGGGAACAGGAGGGTGTGATGGAGGGGATGGGGAGCCTGGCAGCATGGGGAGGGCAGGAACCTGAGGCCATGCAGGGAGTTGGT